TCTGGATCCTAGCGCGGCCCGGGGAGTAAACGTCCCGAGGAGCCGCTTATGTTCACTGTTTCTCCTGTTTCTTCTGCCGAGGCTGAGGGGGTCCCCATAGAATCAGTGGTCTCCCCTCTGTCGGGAGTTTTTTCTAGCGTAGGCTAGTATCTTGCCCTGTTCAGCCCCAGACAAACAGGCTGTCCCCTCCCACCAGGGAACAGACCACCTGTTAAGGGTAAACTCAGGGCAGCACCTCTCTTTCACCCATCACATTCACACACCAGACACCCCAAAAAAAACATTGCCGGCTCATCAGAACAAACTACAACAGCTTTCTGCTCTGTAGGTGAACCGCGGTAAACTGGGTGACTCGAAAAGGACAGTTTTACCTCCTCTGAAAGCTGTTCCCTTCGCGTTTTCCGACGTTCCCGTGCTGTAGAAAGTGGCACCATGATTTCCGCTAATCAGTCAAAGGAGGGTAGGGGAGAAACCCAACGAGCAGCCCCAAACAGGCTGAAAAAGAGCTGCTGGCCCGTACGGGGATCGAACCCGCGACCTTGGCGTTATTAGCACCACGCTCTAACCAACTGAGCTAACCGGCCACGCTGGAGCAGTACTGCTCAGCACCTCTGATCGCGGACCCTATGCAGGGCATTGACAGTCCCAACCCGCGCCGATTGGAAACACACACGTGATGCCTAGTGTGTGCTCTGCTGACCTCCCTTTCTGTAGCCCACCTGCTGCAGTGCAGAAGTAGCAACCCCTCTGTGCCCATCCGCGTTCGGCAGGGCCTCGCGACTGCCGGGCCTCAAAAGAACGCTCTCTCAAGCACAAAAGTAAGTTGTCAGGAGTGGGATTCGAACCCACGCCTCCAGGGGAGACTGCGACCTGAACGCAGCGCCTTAGACCGCTCGGCCATCCTGACAGCTGCGAGAGCTGCTCAGCAGGCCGGATTCGGCTCTGCCGCAGAACGGGCCCGCCAGAACCCCGAAAATCCTTACTCCCTACCACTGCAGTTAACTCTGAGGAGGTGCAGTGGGGTTTGTCCTGCTTTACTTCTAACCAGCCTGCAGACGATTTGACAACAGTGAGAGGCAAAGCAAGACTGCTTTTTGACAAGGGAGCAGAAAAAGGACGTCAAGTGCATGTGATAAGACAAAGGGAAATGGCTAAAAGAGGTAGATTTACATTAGATATTAGGAAGAAATTCTTCATTGTGAGGATGGCCCTAGTTGGCACAAGATGTCCAGAGAAGCTGTGGCTGCCCCATCCCTGGCAGTGTTCAAGGCCAGGTTGGAGGGGTCTTGGAGCAGCCTGGTCTAGTGGAAGGTGTCTCTGTTCCTGGCAGGAGTTTGGAACTGGATGAGCTTTAAGGTGCTTTTCAACCCAAACCATGCTGTGATTCTGGGAGGGGGGCAAATCACAAAAAAAAAAAAAAAAAAAAAAAAAATCACAAAAATCCCCATGAACTTCCCTTCCCCCTGTTTAGTTTATAGTGAAGTTTCTGTTCCATAAAGAAATGAAGCCTTAATGTTTTTGTGTCACAGTGAGATGCAAACAGCTGGTGCCACATGGGCTAACATTATTTAGTAGTATTTTGAGATGCATTTTTGCTCAGTTCTGAAGGTAACAGTGCAAACCAAAGTCCAACCACTTCTCCCCCCCACCTTAGTTTAAAAATTTGACCTTGAATACCAAAGCCACATATTCTTCATTCACTTCTCTCGGCTGCATTAATTTGCCATTTCAGAAGATGGTTCCTAGAGGACCTTCAGCTTGAGCATTTCTCTGAACTAAGCTGAATGTCACTTCCTATCTCATTGGCTATTTGGGTTTCCTAAGAAAGGCTGAAGCCCTTTCCAGGAGAGAACTTAATACAAACAGAAAAAGGTTAAGCCCCATGGCAATATCAGCTACCAGTATAACTGTTTGGTTACTAACAGTTACGCTGCTGTAACTGAGTAATTGAGACTACAGTTACATTCAGCCAAATGAAGACACACAGAACAAAGGGATAATGTGTACAAGAGATGGATTTAAACTGTATTTAGTAATATAACTTAAAGAGGAAAACCTGCTAGGTGAGCAGTAGCTCCAAGGAAAGCAAGAGGAGCTCAGACCAGAGTGCATGTGAACTCCTGAGAAGAAACTATAACCCAAGTTCTGCTCATGTAAATGTACAAACCAAAATAACTTCTGAAAATTAGTCCATGGCTTCCTGTTCGTGGAAGCAAACAGAATGTCCTGATGTTTTCCAGAAAAGGAGTCACAAGGCAAATGAGCAGCATGTGCTGTGTTCTCCAAGCAGATCTTACAGTTAAATTGCTCAAGTTGCACAGCCTTGTTTGGCTCTGAGAGCTACTCAACACTTGCACCATGGCTGAATTTATGAATGAAAGCACATAGAAAAATGCAAATTACTATTTTTGTGTTCCCTGACTCCTGTATCTGTGCTATAAATTGCAATAATACCACAGCTTCACTTGCACATCATGTCAAGGCAGGTAAGAAATGACTA